GTCTGAATTATATCCTCAACCAGTTTGGGCAACTTCTCTATCTGGCCTGCATCAAAAGCCATGTAAACAAATACATGGATCAATTAACCGTCTTCACAAAAGCAACGTATTTCTGATAAGTAGATTTACAAAACAAATCCAATTAGCAAAAAAAAACACCCTAACGAGATATAATTCAGCATCATAAATGTAAACAGTGAGATTCAGTTTACAAAAAGCAGGAAATTTCCGTACTTTGAAGACGAGAAGTGAAAAGGTCCTGCGTTTGCGAATACTGAGCCGAAATAACAAAACCCTTCAAATTCCTGCTTCCGATCATCTTCTTAGACGTTCGTGATACAGTTCTCGCGACGGGAAACTGCAAAATGAAGCTATCGAGATTGAGCAGAGAAGTAAAAGGAGCTAAGCCTTAAAGAGCAGATAAAGGAAACGACTTCAGGGAAGGAAAGTGAGAATAGAAAACAAGTAGACCTGAGAATGGTAAAATAACGGTAACCGCGTGCCACGGAAAGCTGAGACCGCCATCGCTCGCCGGAGATTGGAGCAAAAGACAAGAAACTCCGGTCAAGCTAGCTTTTTACTCTCAAACGCAGAGAAAAGCGACACCGTTTTGATCATTTTAAAAACTGAAATATCCTGAAGCGGAGTGAAGGGGAATATGCCACGTGGAGACGTGTGAGAGGTGGTTTCCTTCTCACAACATATTCGTGCAAAACTTCTCGGTTCGATTCGATTTCCGGTTCACCACTTTTGAATCCGATTAAACCGAACCGTTTTTGGGGCGCTGGAGGAGAGAAGTTGAGGTAACGCATTGACATAAATACCCTCATCAAAATTGAGAAATAACAAAACCATTCAAACCCTAACCACTTTCACGGAACCTCCTCTTCTTCTTCGTCTCTCTGTCTTCTTCTCTCAACGCCGTTGATTCGCCATCGTCGCTACAGGTGAGATTTTCCTTCGATTGTCTTTGTTTTTTCTTCCTTTCTTCCATCAATTCGTTCTCTTTCCATCTGGGTTTGTTCTTTTAGCTCAAGAAAATTGATTCCAGAGTCAGAATCGTTTATAGTTTTGAGTTATGATGATTCCTCAATTGATAAGAAAAACTTAAAATTGTATTAGTTTCTACGATTCATGGTTGTTCGATTTAGGTTTCTTCTACATTCTATAGGGTAACATTTGTTTCTTATGCTTGTTTTTGCATGCTTCTTATTCTCTTTACTTATCCTGAGCTTGTTATATTAGGTAAACTTGCTCTATTATACTAGGGTTTCTGTTTCTCTTCTGGATAATGAATGAGCATATTTGCTCAAGAACACAAATTGAAATTTTGTCTACAAAGTCATCTTCTTTAGTTCTGTATCTAGTAAACGAGTAAAGTTTGTGTCTTTTGATGTGATTCAGTATTTGTACTAGCTTAGCTATAGCTATGCATAATGTATATCGAAAATACATATCTAGTCTTTCACAGTTATTAATATTTCCTGTTTTATTGCTGCAGCTTGTCTTGAGGTTTCCGACTTTTTGGCTAATCTCCTCTGTGGAGAGCAATGACTAAAACTCGTGGGACTGATGTAAGTTTTGATTTCCCCAGTAATTCTTGAGCATTCGAGTAACTTTTTATTATCTCATATTTTGTTAATCCGCCATGGTAAGTTGATTCTACAGTTTTTATGTGTTAATTAGCATCTGAAACTTGACTATGAGTCCTTAGTTTGTTATATGTCAATTCTCCGAAAGGGCTTTTTTTCTGATTGTGATTGGTTTTGGTTATTGTTGTAGATGGCAAAGAAGAAGGGTAATCGTGATTCTGGATTGGATTTCAAGACTCATCAGCATACTGAATTTTTCGATAAGTTGATAGAGCTCATCCCTGCAAGATTCTACTTACCTGATGAGACAGAAAGAAAATGGTTTCCAGGTCTTAGCAAGGCTCGAAAAGCTAAAGCCAAGAAAATAACAAATGAAAACCTAAAGAAGGCGAAGAGAGATAAGTTGGACCCAGAGAAGTCTGCTTTGACGACTCTCGATTTACTGAAGGAGAAGATAGAGAAGGAAAGATTGGCTTCACTGAAGCAGAAGCAAAAGAAGAAACACGCGGATTTACGGAAGCAGAAGTTTGACCGGCAAAACTCTGGTACTGAGCTTCCTGATGATGACAGTGAGGAGGAAACAGACAACAACAGACAAAAGGATCATCAATCTGTTACGTACGAAGAGCTGAGGCAACGTCTCCACCGCAAAATTGATGAGCTCAAAGGTGGTCGTGGAGGTTCAGATAGACCAAGAAGCAATGAGAGAAGGAAGAAGATTCTGCCAAATAAGAGAAAGAGGGATACAGTTTCTGAGGAGAAGACTGTGGAGGAAAATAAGTCAGCAGATAAAGGTAAGGGTAAGTTGGATGTGGAGGAGGCTGCTAAGGACCTTACATTTGGTTACGTCAAGATTGATGACGATGAAGAACACGGAAAAGAGAAAAAGAAACGGAGGCTTTCAAAGGCAAAAGAACTTGAAAGGGCTATAAAGTTAGAGGATGCAAAGAAGGATCCAGAAAAAGGAGATGTAATTGCAAAGAAGCACTCATGGAAGGCAGCTACAAGCAGGGCAGCTGGTATCAAGGTTCATGATGACCCAAAGCTATTGAAGCAAAGCATCCACAAAGACAAGAAGAGGCACGAGAAGAACGCAGAGAAGTGGAAAGAGAGAGTTGAAGGGCAACAAAAGTTCAAGGTGGAGAAGCAGCAAAAGAGATCAGGGAATATTGCCGATAGGATTGAACAAAATAAGATGCGGAAAATCGCCAAGAGAGAGAAAAAGCTCCTGCGTCCTGGCTTTGAAGGCCGCAAAGAAGGGTTTATCAATGAAGGTGGAAACTAAAATTCAAATCTTCCATACGCCTTTTGTGTTCCAACATTTCAACGATGTGATCCTCACAAAGGCTGTGAAGAGGGTTTGCACATCTGAAATAGAAAAACATCTTCTACCATTTTGGGAATTTTCATCTAGTCAAGTCCCTAGCTATATCTTTTATCTTTTAGTTCGTTTTCTTTTGCAGTTTGTAGACTTATCAGATGTTCCATTTGCTACTCAATGTGTTGTTGCTTACAGTGAATGCTCTTATCAGGCAGGTTTTGAAACTATATAGAATTTGCAGGTTTTAGACAAACTTGTCACAGAAATTTGCATATTTTGAATGCGAGAATACAAAGCCTAGGTACCACATTCAAGCTAAAATCTGTATGCAAGTTTTGATCTGAAATCATTTATGAGAAATCAAACTAAACCGAGTCGATGTGATAATAAAACTTTAGTTGGATCCGGTTAGGTCTGGTTCATATTACAAAACTCAAAAATGATCTTTAGGTGCAAGTTCTAGAAGTAAACAAACGTGTCTGATTTTGAACAGTAAGCTTCTTTTTTTGTCGGCGAACAGTAAGCTTACTATACTAAACAAAAGCTTGGATAAAAGCCTCTGAAGAGAGTCAAAGTAGGTCGGCAAAAGAATCTCGAGACACGTGCCACAAGAACAAGCTTGGAGAATCTCGAAAACTCTCTTACTCATCGCCACTCCCACACGTGTGATGAATGCCGTGTGTTAATGGGTCACATTACCCAAACCTTATATAGACCACAAAGAGACCCAACAGAACTCCATCAGACAAAACAATGGAAGCTATCTCTCAAACCTGCACAAAGATCATCACCAACTCATCTTCGAGAACATATAAAACCTCATCTTCGGTCACGGCAATCCCACAGACCAAGCTGAGCCTTAAAGCCAAGAAGGAGAGGTGGGTTGCTGCTGCTAGATGCGTGGCTTCGGGGTCGGGTTATGCGGCGGCAATGGAGCCAATTACACCGGAGGAAGAGGAGGAATTGACTCAGAGAAGAGGTATATGTGGCGGAGAAGCAAACAGAGGAGTATGGGAGCTCTTGGAGTGCCTTGAGAAGGAAGCTATTATGGGTGATGATGATGGGAGAGACCCTACAGATTACAATAGAAGAGCGAAGATTTTCGACAAGAGTTCTAAGATCTTCAAGAACTCTAAAGAACAGAGAGATCAGTCTCCTGTGGAGTACCTTGAGAAGGAAGCTATCATGGGGGCTGATGATGGGAGAGACCCTAAAGATTATAACAGAAGAGCAAAGATTTTTGACAAGAGTTCTAAGATATTCAAGAACATCAAAGAACAGAGAGACCAGTCTTCTCCAGAATAAATATAAAAATTGTTGTCTGTTTGTTATGATCTGATCTCATTAGTGCTTGATTCCTTGTATGGTTGTACCTGTACTTTTTTTTACAAGGATCCTCTCATTGTAACACCATCTTAATAATATTCAGTCAACAGGAGAGACTAATTATTGAACGCACAATGATGCAGAATCTTTGGATCCTTTTTCCATTCAACTTGAGAGTCCATATAAAAATAGCTTTCCAACACCCACTTTAACCATAGTCTGTGTTCCAAGAATCCTGAAAGTTCTCATAATCCAAATGTTATCTATGATGATTGGATCAAGAATATGATTAACACTAAAACATCTTGAAAACACCATTAATCCTCTTGATGGGAACAATGAAATCATGAGTACTAGAGAAAAATCAGAAAACCTGTCCCGATGGATTTACTTATGTTTTATATTGATATCCATCAAACATATTTAGTCCAACAAATCTAGACACTGTTTATGAAGAACAGAACAAGTTCCAATGGCAGTTGCACAAAAGATATGATAGAATAAAAGATTATCTTTATACAGTTGAAACAGGAATATTGTTGGCTTAATGACAAGTTCCCATCTAAATCCATAGTTTATACATGGTGATTGATATCTAGTAGCTTCAATATAGCAGTTGTACAGTGTTCTAATAAGGCAAAACAATAAATGATTTTCAGACAAATTATTTTCGGACACACGAAACAACAACAGTAAAGAGATAAATTCCGTTGACTTCTCTTCCGCACACTTACTTTTGGATCCATGGGCCCGATATAGAATCTGAGCCTGATGTCTGTTGTGGTTGAAACGTCACCGTTTTGTTTTAGTTTATCTTCTCTCTAAACGACGTCATGTTGCTTCCCTCTTCTTCTTCTTTCTCCTCTTTTAGTCTTTTCATTTGATCGCTGAAAACTGAAACTATTTCCCCATATCACTCATCTCTCTTCTTCAAAATTCCTTCTTTGTTTCACAAAACTAAACCAAACCCTGATTTTAGCTTCTTAATTGCTTAATTATCTTCAATTTTTGTTTAATTTTTAGGTTTTAAATCATTTTCGATCGTTTGATTCCATCATTCCATGGCCGGAAAAGGGCTATCATCGGCGCCTTTCAACGCGCCGCCGATGATTGTCCAAGACGCTGACCCGTTACGTTTTCGGGTCGGCGAACAAGACCCTAAAACCCGTGAATTCGCTGCTTTTATCGGCGACCACCACCGGTATTTCGCGGCGGCAGCAGCAGCAGCCGCCGCTGCAGCTAATCCACACCCTCATCTAGAGTTCCGTCAGAATTTCTACTCGGAGAAACCCATTATCGGAAACCCTAACGACAGTGGTGGGTCCGACGGCGAGGATGACGTTGACGTGGAAGAAGAAGACGAGGATGATGACATAGACGGAAATGAAGGCGACATGGGCATGAACAAAGATGCTGGCGAAGATTCTGTATCTGCAGGAGCTGGTAAGAGAATCACACAAAGTTTTTTGTTTTTTTGGAATTCTAAGTTTGAAAAGTTTCTACTTTTGGGAGTATTGAGGCGGTGGACTAAAATGGTAATGCAGTGATAGTGGTTGGACAAGACAACGCAGCTTACTACTCACAGCATTTTAAGACGATGGAAACGACTTTTGCTTCTAGGAATGAGGAATCATCTATCGCTGTGGATAATGGGTGTGATTTCAGCGGCAGAAGAGACCCTTCTTCTTCTTCGAGCAATTCAATCGAGTCCTTGAGGACCATTTTGTCTGATCCTACAACGTATGTTCTTTTTTGTTTTGGCTTGGTTTTTACGGGTTTTTTTTGTGGTCTTAAAGTCGTTATTGAGCTTATAGGACTCTGTTCTAAACTCTTGAAATTCGTTTAGTTCTTAAATTCTCCAATAATGGAAGCAAATATGTAGAACTTTCTGAATCTTGGTGTAGTGATATATGGTTCCGGAATTACAAAGAGCTTTTAGTGTTATTAACTTATTACCTCGCCAAGAAGTTAGTGTGGACGTTGATACTTTTTAAGTTGGAAACCATTGGATTGGTATTTGATCATGCTTGCGTTTAATCTATAGCCTATTTTTTTTGTTAAATGTGATTCTCTTTGCACAATTGCAGAGGGTCTTTGATGGCTGATGCTATGATTTTACCTTGTGGACACACTTTTGGAGCTGGAGGAATTGAACAAGTGAAACAGATGGTACAGAGTTTTGTTTCTGCTATTTGCTTTTGTCTCTTTTCTTTTGCTTATGAAATCTATTTTCCGTCGCCTTCTCTTAGAAGGCTTGCTGCACATGTTCACAACCAGTCTCAGAAGACTCAATAACCCCAAATCTCAGTGAGTTACTAGAGTTCATGATTTCTGTATTTGGTATAGTCTCAGAGAACTCCTTGTCATTATTTTCGCCCGATTTTTCGCAGCTTTACGAGTTGCGGTACAAGCATTCTGCCGAGAAGAGAATTCACAGTCAAACCATTCATCGAAGAGAAAACGAGAAGGATTTGATCAAGTAATTCAATACTACTATTCATATGACCTCTCACATTTATTTATGTATCAAACAAGAGGTTCCTTTTCCATATACACAGGAGAGACGTGCATTTGGTGTCACTAATCATTCAGGTCGATCAAGGAACAAAAGTAATCATTTCCCATTTGCTGTGGCAGATCGAGTTATAATAAAGGTCGGTCCTTTCTTTTTTTTCCCTGCGATTTTTTTCTCTATCGTAGGTATTTTCTTATGATGGAAGATTGCGGGAGTTGCTAACCGATGGAGTGAAACATGAATCAGGGAAATAAGAGGACACCACCTCGTTTTGTTGGCCGGGAAGCTGTTGTGACTACTCAATGCTTAAACGGCTGGTAAACTCTCATTTCTTTCTTTCTCACTGCAAACTTTCTTGTACACTGATAAAGGCATCACCTGTACAACCCTTGAGCAAAAATCTATACCAACTTTTGTATAAATGTTTCTGTTACTTAAGAGCTCATTTGCTACATTTGCAGGTATGTGGTGAAAACACTGGACAACGCAGAGAGTGTGAAGCTTCAGTATCGTTCATTGGCTAAAGCTCCAGAAGATCCATCTGCCAAAGCAACACCAAACAAGATGGTCTCTAACTGGCTCTAAACAAAGCAACCTTGTTTTCAGCATGATGACACCAGTTTCTGCTCCTAGGTTCTCTATGTAAGATCCAAAACCTTATTTACAGATCCAGATCACTGTTACATATTGTAAATTGTAGTAGTTACTCCATGTGTGAGGTTTGACTTTTTGGGGAAATTAGGCTTAGGGCAAGATCCAAACTTTGAATAGCCAGAACATATTCGGATCATAATACAATACATAGTTATCTCAAGATTACTTCTTTATTCAAGAAGAGATGTTAATAACTTTCAGAATCTTAACTAATTTAGCATACTAAGGTTCTTACTGTAAAACAAATGGCTGAAAAATGAATCTATAAAAGGAAATAGGAAAAAAAAAAAAAAAAAAAAAAGAAGGCTGATGAGCATATTGCTCCTAGTGTTACAGATGGATATTACAAAGAATAACTCTGCTATGAAAGTTTACACTAAAGTAACTGGGAAAAAGTTTTCAACTAAAAGGCTTAAATCAGATACTGGTCAGAGGTTTAAAGGATTTCAGCTACAGGTTATGTTCTCCTCCAGAAAACTGCAGGTCGAGAATATAGAGGCTGCAGCTGCTTTAATGACTAAATCCTTATCTGACATCAGCGCGTTTACAGCTCTGCAACACAATTTGAACAGCAGGAAACTAAAAATTTGGATTGGGGAAACATATTAAACTGGTAATGAGATGAATAGGTAGTGAAATGGCCATACCTAGAGTCCAGTGGCATCCCTAAGTGTAAGAAATTCTGACCAGAACTCAAGCTCAAGTGTTGCAGACCTTGATCACAATGTGATTGCAGATATCTCACTTGGTTTAACCAGCTTTCCTGAATATTTTCAAAGTTCACAAACTCCATATCAGATGCCAATGAAAAAAGGTAAGATGTGTGGTTAGGAAATCTTAATTCTATTACCAATTGTGACTCTTCTTCTGAGAGCTTGTGTTCGAGTTGCTTAAACAAAGTCATCCATCTGGTCTTGTGGACATCGACTGTTGAAGCCCTTGAAGCCCCATCGAAGAGTAAAGTTGGGTCATTTTCTTGATCGGGTGGAAACTCTTTCGTTATTAAGAAAGGTAGCTCTGTCGTGACAACTGCACGAACCCTCTTCTTGCTACGTCGAAGAGCTGAAAAGAACCAAAAAGAGATTTAAAGAACAGCCAAGTACTAAAGTTTTCATAGCATGAATGACCATATAAGAGTTTTGGTTACCGGAAACACGGCCTTTGAGGTCCTGATGAAGCAATTCCAACCATTGAGAAGCTACAGTAGCCGCTGCAAATTAGAGATGAAGATCCATCTAAGCCACATATGATAGTATAAAACCATGCACATTGTGTATTGAATTCTAGAACATACCATTAACAGTGAGAACACTAGCACTGTTAAGATCTGATGCGTCCTCGCTCGACAAGGAACTGGCATTTTCTGAGAACTTACCTGCCACGTGAAACCTCGACCTAACTGTATTGTTTTCTTCACTTAACTCATCATCTGCGCATTTCTCATCGTAGTAGCGCATAGAGTACTTACCTTTTGGCATGGCATACTTGAATCCTTGGTTAAAATCAGATCCGAAGGCATCAGTGTTCACATCTCCCAAGTTTTTCCTAGGACTCCCAACTGCACTATTACTATGCCTCAATGTAGAATGATAGAAGTTTCCAGCATCTCTTTCAGACTTGACAATGTTTTCGATAATGGAAAGTACTTGCTTTTTGTTTCTCACATGGTTAATAATTCCAGGGTTCAATTCATTAAGCAGTCCACTAGGAGCAGCTAGCCTAGCAAACCTGTCAACTTCTTCCTTCCTTGCAATCTCTATCTTTCTCTTCTTAGCCATTGCAGCGTCAATATTATTCTTTTTGCGTCCACGTTTCCTTGGAGCCGGTATCCCTCCATGAGAAGAGGATACGAGACAGCTACTTGATGTCGTTGAAATCCCACCGTGCGGATTAGAGAGATACCCGTTCTGTTTCATTTCTGTCCAAACCTTCATTGGATCTTTTTTCGCAACAGGACCATTGGAACTCCCACACTCTGAATAAACATCCATTGAACTAGTTTTCTGGCTTCTCCTGGACGAGCAAACCGATGTTAAATCATCATTCAAGCAGCTGGAAACAGCATCCGCATTATCACATCTCTTAAGCAAAGCTCTCTTATCACAATCAACATCTGCGTTGAGAACAAGCTTACTGGAAGAAGACTTGACCTTTTGACCTAACAGTTGAGTCTTATTAGTCATCCCTTCTTTAACAAAACTCTCTGAAACTTTACCAACTTGAGACATTTCATTGGCTTTTTCAATGTCCTTAGAAGCAGTGCCACCTGTAGCAACGGATGTTCAAATTACATTTGAATCAAAGTTTAGGCTATCTATTCTATGCCTTTCTTAAACTTCAATCTCATTGAAACCATAATATGAAGAATCATAAAACGATGAACAATTGAATGAAATTGGCTCGGCTAGTAACAGTAAATTACCTGAATTTAGAGTTGGTGTAACAGGTTGAATTTTACTCAACTTCAGTCTTTCATCCAATTCAGCGCCTCCGATCTAAAATCCCAGAAATCGAAAAAGTAAAGCAATGTATAATTAGATCGAGAAATTGAAAGGCAAAGTAAATCAGCAAACGAACAAAATCAATTCAACAAAAATCCAATGAAGGAGAAGAAGTAAAGAGGTTACCTTTAAGTCGGATCTGGGAATCGGAGAAAACCCTCCAGAAACATTGTCGTGTTCTTCCATAGCGACTCAATTAAAACCACGAAAGCAAACCCAGAAATTTACCTTCGAATATTTGACCAAAACAAAAGCCAAAAAGTTTCGAGAAATGAGAAAACCCAGAAAATGGTGATAACAGATTCTCTGATTCCTCGAGGGAAAAATACTCGAAATGGAGATCGAGGGTTCGAGTGATGAAGTCTAGGGTTTTAAGATCTGATGGTCAATTAGTAAAGATCGGAAATGTTGGATTTGAGACCCTAGAAATTGGAGAAGAGGGAAGAAGAAGAAGCAGAGGAATGAGGTGTGAAGAGCGCGCGATGTGGGCGTAGTTTAATCATTTCTGACAAACAACAAATGTTTTAATTCTTTTGGGTTTTTTTTTTTTTTCTGGGGGATCTTTGAGGTTTTTCAAATTCAAACGAGGCTTAAACGCGATTTGGAGGGAATAGTGAATTTGGGCCTTTATAATCGAATCTTTTGAATTTTTGTTAGCTCATTACTAATTTCGTAAAGGCCTTTTTCACTTTTATTGCTATTTTTTAATAAACCAACTACTTAAACCGTAAATTACAAGAAGGCTCCGCTTGCCATTTGAATTTTCAATTTAAGTAACAGATTAAAAGCTAATCATATTTATAAGTATTAATTGCATAAAATATTGTAATTGTGAAATCTTGTGTTATTCAATTCTGTATTTTGGAAAATAATACGTTTACATTATTGTAATCTACAAACATTAAAAACAATTGTTATTCAACCTCCATTTAATTTTGTTACTTTTAAAAACATATTTGATTTTCTTTTACTAAATTAAGTTTTTAATAATATCAACATATTTGATATAGTAGATTCATACGATGTCTTAGTAGGCTCTATGACTCCTTCTGGGCAGAGAATTCTACGCGAAAGACCTGTTCAGCCGTCGATCAAAGCTCAGGAGGTACAAGCGTCCTCTAATGCTCGGGGAAGACATAACCGTGGACGGGGTCCCCGCGGACGCGGGAATCGAGGAAGCGGTCGTGGACGTGGCTAGTATCTCTCCTTTGCTTATTTATCAAGCTAATCGAAGCGGAAGATTCGATTACCATCTTTACTCAACTTTATTGTACTTGTAATGTGAACTTTCTGCGCTGCCTTTATGGTATGCTTTTAAAAAAAATTAATAAAAAAAAAAAAAAAAAAAAAAAAAAACAAAACAAAAAAAACCATATTGGATATTTGACCCAAATTTGGTCAAATATTTATTTACAAGATTATGCAAAGGGCTCCATTATCAATTTCCCACAAGCCAACAATTCCTAAGCTGAGATTCACTAGTCTCTCTAAAACTTGACACCTTAGCTAAACAGAAATGCGTACACCGCATACCCAAACCCGACCCGGATCCTGACCCTGACATTGACCCGACACGGGTCGTCTTAAGCAGATAACAAACCGGCCCACACTCAACTCCTTTCCCTTGTACCACCAACCCCCACGCACGTGTGCCGTCGCCACCGTCAAAACCACAGCCACAACTCTCCTCCGCCGCTCCTAACTGCTCCACGAACACAATTCCTTCCGGCATCTCCGCCTCTCCTCTCTCCCATCTCCCTTTCACCGCCGCCCATTCCTCCGCTTTCATCACAACCACCGTTCCCTCCTCCTTATCTCCGGTGTACAAATGGACTAACAACGGCGCTTCACTTAAATTCTTAACGATCTCCGTCACCGATTCCTTCATCCACCTGTCTAGCTTCTCACGCTCCGCCTCCACCGCTCTACTATCTCCTCCACCTCCTCTGCTTCTCCCTCCGCTTCTTCTTCCACCTCTCTGTTTCTCTATCTCCGTTACGGTCTCCGCTATCGACGCCGTGATCGTTCCAACGCTAGATCGCCGAGTACCGCCTAGATTGATCGGGAACGACGATGAAAGCAATCTCGCATTATGATCGGATCCACATGGATGCTCCAATGAGCCGCGTTGCACTAGATAACTTCCACCGTAACCGATTTTTGCATACGCCATCTTTCCCCGGTGATGAGATTTCCACGTCAATAAAAAAAATCTTAAATCACAAAATCCGGAGATTAAATCCTCCCTAGATTCGCTTTAATGTTTCTATGAACAAGACGTTATGAAACAACGGCGAGGATTCAGGCGGAGAAATATATCTAGCGGTCGGATGAGTATAGGATTGTAGGAAGAACTTTAACGTAAGAAGATGACTTGATATAACGCTAGGTTATTAAAATATGCTGACGTCAGTTTAAACTGAAACCTGTTTGACGAGTTGTAATCGGGTGTAACTCAATCCATGCTAAGTCCCGGTGCGTATATGCCTTTTACGTTTAAGTGGTTGTTAGTGATTGTAGCGGAGTATACTAGAGAAGGGAACATGGTTGCACAGTAGGAATCATGTAGAGGATTATTGCCCTTTGAGAAAGTGGGATGAGGTCAATGATTAAAGACCTTTAACGAAATAACGGCGTTTTTTATAATCTAGAACAGACGTATTGCCGTCGAGTGTTGCTTGATCTAAGCCGTAGGATTATAAGACAATGCTTCAGAGGACCGGATCGGACGGTCATCATGAGATGTAGAACTCGATAGGCACGTGGGAATGTGGTTTCGGTGTGTGGGGAGATCGGAGTAACACGCGACACTCGTCTTCTTAATTAAGTGGATTCCGTGCTCACCACGTGTTTGCCACGTCAGCTTAGAGTCCACGTTGGAGTCAACTATAGCTTAAATATATTTATAAGCTTTTCATATTAATATGGGTTGCCGCATTATTACGACCCGTACTATTTCTATTCTCACGATTTCGACTTATACTTTTCGACCTTTTATAAATAGATATAAACTATATTTATTTTTTACAAAACGACCTGAACTTTTTTTTCGGTCCAAATGTCTACACCTCCAATCGAAATAGATAATCCCGATTTTAAACCTGATTAAACCGTTAAATCGCGATTACTGTCTCGTGTTTGACCAAATCCGACTGTTTTTTCTTTGACTCGATAAGCCCAGCTTAAAAACGACGTCGTTTGCTAAATATGAAAATCACTCAAAATATGTTTTCCCCAAATTTCCTATTCACTCGTCTATCGATTTTTCCCCAAATATGAAGAACCCTAGAAGCGAATTTAATTCTATCACCAAAACAAACTATTTGGTTTTTAAGCTGGATTTATCGGGTCAAAGAAAAAATAGTCGGAACTAGTCAAACGCGAAACAGTAATTAATTGCTATTTAACGTTTTAATCGGATTTAGAATCGGGATTATCTATTTCGATTGGAGGTGTAGACATTTGGACCGAAAAAAAATTCATGTCGTTTTGTAAAGAATAAATATAGTTTATGTCTATTTATGAAGGATAGAAAAGTATAGGTCGAAATCGTGAGAATGAAAATAGTACATGTCGTAATAATGCGGAAATCCTATTAATATTATGGTCAAAGTTGTGAATTTTGTTTTCCAAATTTCTTTTACTAGTTTTTTCTAAGAAAAATCCACCAAAAATAGATAAAACCTACAATGTTTAAATACAAATTCATTGAATGATAAACAAACAATCCTTTCTTTTTTTTTTGGATCAAAACAAACAATCCTGTAAAGGTAATAAATCCACAATTTATTAAATCTGTTGGATCTAGATAGTTAGTCTATTAGGATCGCCCCTTCAAATTTTTAGATGCATAAAGCCAAAAAGTTATATTATTTTCATTGAATGATAAACAAACAATCCCATAAAGGTAATAAATCCACATTTTGTTGAATTTGTTGGATTTAGATATTTAGTCTATCTGGATCATCCCTTATACTTTAGATGCAAACTCCAGAACTACATCTACAATATTCGTAATAGCTTTTTCTAGAAAAACAGTAATCTTTACTCTCTCAATTAGGTTGGATACACATGTGGAGCTAGACGAGGTGTTGCAACCGCGTGTAATGGTTTTGCCATGAAAAGGTCACTCTTGCTTTCCGAAATATCGATCTTACTCTCACCAGGCACTGGTGACCACGTGAACCCTTGAATCAACCGAGCCAACAACATGTACGTCATGGCTGACCCAATGTCCACACCCATACACCCTCTTCGTCCCGCACTGAACGATATTATATTGAGATCAGGCTCGTTTGGATCCACGCCTATGTTATTGAACAAATGTCTCTCCGGGTCGAACTTAAGAGGCTTGTCCCATACGCTAGGGTTTCTCCCAATCCCCATACGACTAATCAGCACATGGCTTCCCTTGGGGATGAAGTAACCGTCTACCACAGCGTCAGCGGTGGACATGTGAGGGAGGTTGAACGGTGCCACGGGGTGTAACCGGAATGCCTCTTTCACACAAGCCTTCACGTAGTTGAGATTTGGGAGATCGGACTCAAGGACAAGGCGGTCTTTTCCAACTACCCTATCGATCTCCTCCACGGCTTTTTGCATGATGCTCGGCTCGTTAATCATCTCCGCCATAGCCCACTCCGCCGCATTAGACGGATTATCCACCGTCGCCAACATTAGCTCCTTCATAGTCCAATCAACCACCAAAAAAGTTAGAGGTGATCAGATAAAATATTTTTTTTTTGTAAAATAAAATTAAACCTTTTGCTTATGAAAATGCATCACTAATGCATGGAATTCCAAATTGAAAATATTTAGAGCTTTGATTTTCTAAAGAAACTCCATTACAATGTACCATGATCTTTGAAGTAATCATCAGTTTTAAACTATCCCGGTTTACTTAACTGGTTAGAGAGGTGTTGTAATAGTTTTACTTTTACCAGTCCTAAGTGCTACAAAACATTCATAGACAAATGATTTACAATTGTAGACACAGTACATGTACTAATAAAGTCAGGTCACTATTGGTCACGAAAGGACGAAACTTTTTTGCTAAAAAAAAAACTCTAGGTACTATATTGTAGTAGCCAGATATAATTCGATAATTAAAAAGATATAATATTAAGTCCATAATATGCATACCGTCACTTGTGCTTTGATCTCTTCGTCCGACAGAGTAGGCTTCCCGTCAGTGTCTTTAGCCATTATAAACATGTCAAGAAAATCTTGAGGCTCTTTCATGTTCCCATTTCGCCATTGCATAAGTCTTTCATCAACAAAAGGATCGTTATACTTACTTACCTTTCTCATTGCATCACTCACAATCTTCTCATGCCCTTCCAAGTCCAAGAACCTTAGCCACGGGACATAATCTGACAATGCAAAGGCGTAAAGATGGGTTAAAACCGTAAACAAAGATTCCACATGTTCAATCTCTTCGAACCCTGGTCCCGATCCATCTTCACTTCCGTTACCAAAATGCCTTATACCAAACATCATCTTCCGAGCTACATTTCCGCTGTATTGCCGCACCACAAGCCTTAAATCAATAACCACAAAACCATTACCATTACCACGGTTTTTGACACTACGGTTATTGATGTACCGGACGAAGTTATCAGCCTCTTCGGTTCTCTTTTGGAGCGTCAGTTGGAAGCTCTTCTTGCTCGTCACGTGAGATGCCACCACTCTCCTCATCATCTTCCACTGCTCTCCTTGTGGCTCCACCGCAACAGTCAAGTACCCGCGGCTGCAGTACTCTGTCCCCATTGTTAGTGGTCTAGTGGCGAAAACGGAGTCTTGCTTCTTCAGAATCTCCCTTGCAATTCTCGGGGATGTCACGGGGATTACGTGAGTATTCGCAAGACGGATACATGCAATATCGGTGTTGAGTTCTTTCATAAGAGAATGTATCCAACGGAACACCGGTCTGTTCCTCCCTAGTATGTCCGGTAAGTTTCCGATTAGAGGCCAAGATTTCGGCCCGGGAGGGAGAGAGAGGTTTCTCGTGTGTCTAGTCATTAACATGGTTTTCTTCTTCTCCTTATGCTTCATAGTTAATGCAAGAAGAAGCAAACCTAGAATAAACGCAAGCAGTGGGGTGGAGTCGAGCATTGTTTTTATCTCAATTTGGAGAAATTATTTGAGGTCGAAAAAGTTTACTTTTTTCTTTTCTTAAATGAAATGATGAGGAATAAGCTTATTTATAGCCATGACACGGCAATGAAACAATGCTTGTGGTTAGGTGTAATCTGTGGAAAATAAATGTGCTTTAAATGTTGAAGGAAAAAAATGTTAAAGGAATCTGATAGTGTATCATAGTGGGCTTGGAGAATTGGGCTATAAAACTGTAAATTTTATTTACCAACTTTTTTAGCTTTCCAAATTCGTCTAATCAATCTCTAAGGATAAATTTGCTTATTCCTTATCCCTTTTAAATCTTTATGTTAAATTTTTAATGCATCATTATGAATATTTGTCCCTTTTAGGTAGCGCCACGTTTAAAAGACTATGGACTTGGAGATTTGGGCTTGTAAAACTGTAAATAGTTGGCCCATTTTAAAAATCGACTCAGCTCTGGGTTCAGCTTTTGAATCTAATCCAAACTACAATAAGCGATCATAGCCGTTTCTTTGTCATCATCACTTTTACGTTACTGATTTCAATAGCCGTTGTGGAGAAAGGTGGCTGCTTCTAATTTTGTATCTAACTTATGTACGCTTTCTTTCACTGATCTCTTTACTGTATCATAGTAATACAATTTTATCTCTCTTATTTTACTTCTTTATCTTCATTTGTTAGGTAGAACGAGTGGTTGTGGGCTGACTGCTTGATCTAAACACGTGGCTTTCTGGTGGATCGCTAAACAAACATATTTCATAGACATTCAATGAAAGAAATAAAGTTGTTTTGGTATCAAAATAATTCAATTCATCAAAAGAATACGTCTTCTTTTAGATCACAGGCTTTGAACGTTAGCAATATGTTACCTACCACCAGTCCCTGGCTTAATATATAGATATTCACATTTACATGATAGATATTCTTTCTCTATGATCATAAAATAGTACACCAAGCCGTTTATAAATTCCTTCACTCTCAGTTTCAAGTAAATATAAATTAGAAAGTAAGTCTACACTCTTTGCATTGTTTATAATTACAAATTTTTATCCACTAAAGGAAGATTATCAGTTCTAGAAAGTTTCTCATTGCTTTTTCTTAAGATTTGTGTTTCTTGTTTATCAAACAGTGGGAACAGAGATGGTCATGGTTCATGATGTTCCTTTTCCTCCACAGATCATCACTTCCAAGCCACTCTCTCTTCTGGGCCAAGGTTTTTTTTTTTTTTTGGTCTAAGATAACCATATTTTCTTTTTTGCTTCCATAATATTTGATACCTTAATAATGCAATAAAATCTCAGGTAATAATTTAATGTGGGTTGTTTTTATTCTTGTTATAGGGATCACAGACATCGAGATCCACTTTCTTCAAGTAAAGTTCACGGCGATCGGAGTTTACTTGGATCCTTCAGATGTTAAAACCCATCTTGATAATTGGAAAGGCAAAACCGGCCAAGAACTCGCCGGCGATGACGACTTCTTCGACGCCCTTGCCTCCGGTAATCTTAATTAGTCCTTGTTACGTTTCAAATCAAATTTGAATTAGGGTTCTCCGGTTTTGATGATTTCTGGTTTAGATAGACTACTTGGTTAAATATTGGTTTTGGCTGTGTGATACCAAAAAGTGTGATGAAAAGAACTAGTCATATAATTCGGTTAGGCTTCTTTTTTTGGTTTACTCCGGATAAACTCCGGTTTACTTAATTTATTTGGTTAAGTACGTGTCGAATAAAATTGAACCGGTTCGTCTGATGACTATATATATATTTTGGGTCTCTATTTATTTCAGCGGAGATGGAGAAGGTTATAAGAGTGGTGGTGATAAAGGAAATAAAAGGAGCTCAGTACGGAGTGCAGCTAGAGAATACGGTGAGGGATCGTTTGGCTGAGGAGGATAAGTACGAGGAAGAAGAAGAAACCGAGCTCGAGAAGGTCGTTGGCTTTTTCCAGTCTAAGTACTTCAAAGCTAATTCCATCATCACTTACCATTTCTCAGCCAAAGATGGCATTTGCGAGGTATAATCTAGAGCCTCTGTTAACGTCTATTATTATATCGAATTCATGTCTTCTTAGAAATAAAAGTATGTTTAGTCATCCATTTGCAAAGCATCAAATTCACGTGGAACAGAGGAACTCTGTTTTCGTTATACTAATGAATTTGTTTGAAATAGAAAAGAAAAAACCACATTTGAATGCAATTTCTTGCGTATATGAAACAATCAAGGTCCTAAAATAATTGTTTATTGATTGGTGGTAGATCGGGTTTGAGACGGAAGGTAAAGAGGATGAGAAACTGAAGGTGGAGAATGCGAATGTGGTGGGGATGATGCAGAGATGGTATTTGTCCGGAAGTCGAGGAGTCTCACCGTCGACTATTGTCTCCATCGCTGATTCGATCTCTGCAGTTTTAACATAAGAACCTTGGCCCCTTACATAAATAAACATTTGTATGTGTCATTTGTGTGTGTGTTTTTATGTCGTTGTTATATGAGACATTGTGTTTGGTTATCTTTATAAATGATTAATGCTTAGTCTACAAAAAGTGTCTTGATTTTGTTGAAACTTATATAATCATCTTGTCATAACTTCTACCATCAAGATTTTATTATCTGTAAGTACTGTACTATCAAACAATGGTCTTTCATTCATCTTGATGCAAAGAATGACTTTTTCATAGTGGAAAACAAGGAAATTGGTTTGACTAGAAGGTGTGTTTAGATTTTGTTTCCTCTTTCGTACTTCCATGAATTACAAACACCAGTTTAGTAACTTATGGATCCGCCTTGACCAAATCCTGAATTTGTATCATCAAACGTATACTATAAAGTTTGATCTAATCGAACAATAAGGTAATCTCATCACAGAATTCTGAAAAAGCATGTGGATGAATCATGCTACATCTCAATTTAAACCAGCTTTACTCGTTTAGATTCAACATTGGAAGGATACTTAAGTAGGTTTTGTGGAGCTTACTTTGGCTGATTGAACCAATTTTGTTGATTTCTACTGTAGTCACTTGCAATAGACGATTTGGGATTGGTCTTTGGTTCGTGATGTAGTGTGACTTCGCTTTTGTTGCACTAAGCAGATACAGAGCAGCAAACTACAGAGGAGAAATCGACGCGATGTTGGTTTAACAGTAACTAAGTAGAAATATAGCAACTGAGAATTACACGTGGTAAAACCTATGACGTCACTACAAAATGGGAAGTTTTACCCGAACCATCTGACTAGCCGTTGGTTTATCACCGAACCTAAGGTTCGATTTTGCTCTGGACTTCCCAAGCAAAAAAAATGGAAATAACAGAAGAGTAAAAGAAAAGGAAACTTGAGTCCCAAATCATCAGTTTATAAATAGTCTAATCGTTGTAGTATCAAATTTAACATTTAAACACAAAGAAGGGATATGAGAATAATATTTTTAGCCACAACCATGTTAATTTCACTATTACTTTTCAAAATTAGTTTAAGTGTTAAATTTTAAAAACGTCAAAAACTAACCGCGCCTAGGCATTCTGTCCTTAGTTAGTCTGTAAGCTTTAGTTTTCGAAGTTCGGCATGTTTTCACGTAATATAGATTTAATTTAACACTTAAACTCATTTTTAAAAATTAATAAGTATTTTAACTAAAATTTCAAACAAATTTAACACTTAAACTTTTTTAATATAATGATTTTAACCAAAACCATGTTAATTTTACTATTTTTTTAAAAAAAATTAGTTTACGTGTTAAATTTTAAAAACGTCGAAAACTAACCGCGCCTAGGCATCCTGTCCTTAGTTGATCCGTAAGCTTTGGTGTTCGAAGTTCGGCATGTTTTCACGTAATATAAATTTAACACTTAACTCAGTTTTAAAAATTATTAATTGTTTTAATTAAAATTTAAAACAAATTTAACACTTAAACTTTTAGAAAATAATGCTTTTAACCAAAACCATGTTAATTTCACTATTACTTTTAAAAAATTAGTTTAAGTGTTAAATTTTAAAAACGTTGAAAACTAACCGCCACTAGGCATCATGTCCTTCGTTGGTCCGTAAGCTTTGGTGTTCGAAATTCGGTATGTTTTCGCGTTATGTAGATTTAACACTTAAACTCATTTTTAAAAAATAATATTAATACTTAAACTTGTTTTTAAAAAATAATAATGATTTTCACTAAAATTCTTTTAAAATCCTTGTAAATTTTTAAAACCTTTATAAATCCATTTAAACCTCTAATAGAAATCTTTATGTTTTACATTGTTAAAGTAGAGTTAGCATATAAAATCTTTATTTATTTGAAAGGAGGTTTGAAAATATTCACAATATTATATGAGCTAGACTCACAATATTATACGCACACTCTGTTCCCTTATATCTGATACTCTATTCGTCTTCATTTTATATAATTATATGTGGTGATATCTGAGGTAATTGAAAACCTCTACAAAGTCTTACAGTCTTAGTGTAACGTTTCTGACTTTCTGTGCTTGGCCTTTTTTTTCCAGTTGCCTAATGGCCCAAACTTTTTTATTAACTTCTGTTCATCCGAATGAACAATACATTTAGGTCACAATCACATTAACTAAAAAAAACAAAATTGAGTACAGAAACGAATCGAAGCAAATCAATTTTCTCAAAAAATTTATTTTATTCAAACCTGAACAAAAAACTGACTGAGGCGAACCGAAAAAAGATTTCGTTAAAGGCTAAACAATTCTGAAAACCAAAGTCAATCAAAAACCAAATCAAACTTGAAAAGCCAAAACTTAGAAGATTATATAAGTAAATTGTGGATAAACTTCCCTAATTGTAAACAGTAATTTACAAACAAAACAAATATATATATATACCAAACCAGAAAGAAAAAAACCTACTTAGGTGAAGCAAAAACTCAACATTGAAAGTGACCTCATGAAGCTCTGTTACGTTGCCACGTCATCACCCCGCCGGGAGCCATTAGCTGGAGTCTGATGTTCGAGGAGTGATTGTCTGCAAGTGGGGCAAGAGGAATGTGACAGCAACCAAGTGTCGATGCACTTGACGTGGAAGCCATGGTTACATTTGGGCAAAACCCTAACTGTCTCTCCTTCAACAAAATCTCCTAAACAGATCAAACACTCTGTGGCTTTCATCTTAAGCTCAAGACTGTATGAATCAACCGGAATAAGCTTCAACGCCCGTTTCTTGATCCCCTTTGCTACGTTTACGTTTGCGTTAGTGTCAACTGGATCTTCGTCGGGAGTGAACCTTCTTGTGCAGCGTAAGACACAGCGCAAGACCGAATTGATGCCAAGAGCACAGATCAAGGCGCATAGAAGAGCGGCTAGTACGATCACCATGTGTGTATCCATGCTAGCTATATTCTTCTTGTTGCTGACAGAGTCTCCTAAGGTTCTAGGATTTGCATCAGTAGCTGAAATAGTCGGGGTAGCTTGCGTCTCAAGTAAGAATCTAGCCATCTGTAAACGCTTTAGAAACAGATGCACAAATCTTTTTTTGACTCTCCTTTAAGGTTCTTCTTCTTCTTCTTATTGCTCTGGTTTATGTTCGAATCGGACTACAAAAGAGACTGAGATGAGAGATTCAAGTTTCTTCATGCTATGATAAGCACAAGATCAGCTTTTGTTTTCTCTTTTACTCTGAGGCTTCGATTCCAGTCTGAAACTCAAAGACTTGATAAATCCATGGAGATATCAAATCTCAAATCCTTAATGATCTGTTTCTTTATACAAGTTCTTATTTGAGTTTTACACAAAAGGAAATAAGTTGTTCTATAAGAGTAGGAAATGGGTAGACTAGAGAAAGAGAGAGAGAGGGATGATGATGAGATGGTCGGTCCAAGAAATCTTTGGTTAGATTTGCTGATATATATATTTGATAAATTAGAGAGATAATACTATGGCATATAATCTTGTTGCATTTGTATAATTAGTAACAGGGACAAACGTAAAGGACAAGGCCAAAAAGACAACTAATAATGCAGAATATATTGTTGAGTAGATATTAAAATTGATGTATAACGAATTCTCTCAATTAGTGGTCTTAAGAACTTTGGAATCAAGCCAGATGAAATCCACTCTCGTATAGAAAGAAATTAATTAGTGAGAAAAGAAAACATTCGAACATTTATTTTGTATATATAAACATAAGTTGGGGTATCATATTCTCAACAAATCATGATGATTATAGCATAATGCATTTGTTCCATCATTTACAATCTTTACTAATTAGAATTTATAAACTTAATCTTCAATTAATAGATATTTCTAGTTTTTTTTTTTTTTTTTTTTTTGGCTGCAACAGATATTCATATATAGTATCATGTTTAATATGTGTAACAAGAAAATGTAACTAATTACTTCAATCATAAGAAGATGCAACTATTACGTGGATGTACACTTTTCTTTTTGCCTAGCTAGTTTCTAATGGAAAGCAATTAAATAATTAAAAGATCTACAGTACAAAATAAAGCGAGTTTATCAATTAATCTACTAATTTACTATCTTCGGGGCACATTGAAACGTAGTTAATGTTACCGAAAATGTGTAAAATATTAGTTGGATTTAAATTGAATGGTGTACATAAAGGGAAAAAGAAGTATCTGGGTGGGATCTCTGGTCCACATATTAGCAACATCCAATTCAACACTTACTGATGTACAAATCAAACATACACACAAGTTCTCACGCAAGAGACACAAACAAACACTTGTCTCTCTTAGATCCACTACCTCCATTATCATACATAATTACTTTATAAGACGAACTGACCCATCAACCAATACGTGTGTATTCTCATATACGAATGTGTAAACATGATTAGCTTTCCTATTTTTTTTTTTTAAATGAGATGGAAGAACCAAAAAAATAAGAAAAGAAGATAATTGTATCTGTTTTATAGTGATGGATAAATAGCCGATGCTAGTTAATTACATAACAAATTTTTGGGCAACACTAACAATAACAATAAGTGATGTAAATTAGGTGTGACTAGGCTCTGGGGGTAGAAAAAACGATTTAATTCTATCTATAGACGTTATTGTCGGTGAGCGGGCTTTTGGGGTATAGAATCTAGCTCTAGGATTAGTGTTATATTGGTCCACAAATGTTTTCCATTTCAGATTGAAAAGTGGTTAGGTCTAAAGCTATAGAATCAACCCAAACTAGAATCCTGCAATCAAATCAAAGTGGTAAAGAATGGTGGATACGACTAGAAAGCGTAAGTCAAAGTTTGTTAGGTTAAATTTCGATTTGGTTCGGTTAATCTTGAAACCATATGACAAAAAGAATAAACAGTTGAAGTCTAGTGTTGGACTGTTTTCATAAGGTTGGTTGATATTTCATTGGGCAGGCCTTGATGGGCCGAATCACGCTCCATAGTAGCCCAACTAAGAGGCGGCTGTGTACTAGCTAGACTACTAGGTGGTTGTGATCTGTCCCTGGTTCTTATTTCTTAAATCTTATGACGTAGGTGTCTGCATCATACGTGTATACGGTGTATTATACATGCCCGATCACGAGGACGAGCCACACAACCGGTGGTGTAGAGCTTCTGATCATACTTGATTTTTTGGACTATTTAGTGGTTTTAGATATGTATTCAATTCGTAAAATGCAATCAATTTTCTCTTGAATGTGTTAAATTACTTGCAAATTTCAAATATATTATCGAATTTTCCTGCTGTGGCTGTTCTTTTTCTTATTTCTAGTTTTAAAAAAGAAATTTTTTATTGATGTGTATGCATATATAACGAAGAATGTGAAATGATGATGACAAACTGATAATTGACTGCAACTTGAAAGAAAGTCTGTTACCGGAAACAACGGGAGATCTCATGTTCTTATATATAGTACGTCATGCTTTGATGATCTCATTTTACATGTTTCTTTCTTCCTCACAATTCATATCTAACCAATTAACTTATGACTATAGTCTATATATGAATTATTCAAGTGTGCGCATGCAATTGTAGGAAACGAACTTCACTTGTGTATTTTTTCTTAAACTACAAATTTAGGGATGAAAAAAGACACAATTTTTAGACTATGATATTGATTAAATAGGTAAAAGCCATATATATAGTTTAAAAAGAACAAAAAAAGCTGACTATATATTTTAAAACTATGATTAAAAACATCGATTGGATTAGAATTAACTATTAAGTGCCTAACCGTAGTCACATTTCATTATTTCTCTTTCTCATGACTGATGACATCTTATGTCAGAAATTAAATTAAAGATCACTAAAGAATGCATGATTTGTTCACCGATTAATATATTAAATGAAGACATGTGAATCTGTGACGTGGGTTTCGATAGAAAAAAAAAACAAGAAGAAGAGAATAATATACGTTGACAAAAAAAAAAAAAAAAAAGAATAATATACGTAATTAGTCCACGTGGCATAAAAGTAGGGGTCCATGCGGTATAGCCGTTGCCCGTTGGAATGGTTAAGCGCTAACGGAATTGCATGTGAAGACTTGCATAATGCATAACCTACGTACGTACACACGGAATTCCTGGGAATTAAGACCGATCCGATTATGTCACCTTCTTCCATTTTACGTTTTGTCAAAAACAAATATATTTGTATCATAAGAGAAGTGATATCTAGTAGTAGTGAACTCCATAATCAATCCCTATATAAGTGAACGAATTATATACCAACTTCACTCATCTCCTTTTTCCACTTCTTACTTCCTCCGATCCTCTTTAGCCCCTCAGCAAAATCATGAAGCTTACAGAATATTCCCATATTTTATTTCTTTCACTATTCACCATCAACTTCTACATTATAAACTCCGACGACAACGGAGGCTGGGAGAGAGGCCATGCTACCTTCTACGGTGGAGCTGATGCATCCGGCACAATGGGTACTTGAAACATTTTCTTTCACTCGCACCCACACATATCATTAATTAAGTCAGCACAATTGGATACTTTTAACATATTTGACCGTTCAAGTGTTGATGTTTTTTAGGTGGTGCTTGTGGGTACGGTAACTTACACAGCCAAGGCTATGGGCTACAAACCGCGGCTTTGAGCACGGCTTTGTTCAATAGTGGGCAGAAATGTGGGGCCTGCTTTGAGCTACAGTGTGAGGATGATCCTGAGTGGTGCATCCCTGGTTCCATCATCGTTTCAGCTACAAACTTCTGTCCTCCAAACTTTGCCTTAGCCAATGATAATGGTGGTTGGTGCAATCCTCCTCTCAAGCATTTTGACTTGGCCGAGCCTGCCTTCCTCCAGATCGCTCAGTACCGGGCTGGAATCGTTCCTGTCGCATTCAGAAGGTAAAAACAAAATTTTAGCCAAAAAAGGACAATTCAGTATACGTTTTCTTATATAAAACGCTCTAGGTATCAATGTATATCATTTGTCCTTTTATAATGATAGGGTTCCATGTGAGAAAGGTGGAGGGATAAGGTTCACGATCAACGGGAATCCGTATTTCGACCTCGTGTTGATCACAAACGTGGGTGGTGCTGGAGATGTTAGGGCCGTCTCTTTGAAAGGCTCAAAGACTGATCAGTGGCAATCTATGTCAAGAAACTGGGGACAGAATTGGCAAAGCAACACTTACCTCAGAGGGCAAAGCCTATCTTTTCAAGTCACTGCTAGTGATGGTCAGACTGTTGTGAGCTACGATGTTGTCCCTCAGGATTGGCAGTTCGGTCAAACTTTTGAAGGTGGACAATTCTAGATTATGTACCAAGATAAAGTAATAGACATTATACGAGAAGAGGCAATGATTGTGTTTAATTAAGACAAAACTCTGTTTTTCATTGATCATATCCACTCTTTTATAGTAATAACTCATAAGAAAGACAATGAAACAGTTAATTTTGTATTCGTTTAGCAAACAAGGTCTATCCCCATTTGAAATATCTACTTGATTATATTGTAGGGAATTATTGACGTACAAAGCCTAAAACCTAAATATAATTTCTTCATTCTTTCTATTGAAAAGAACCAATTTAAACATATTAATTACTTTTAATAGTAACACAAGTATAGTATTTGATATTTACAAAATTCTATAAAACAAAGAATAATAGTAACTAAAAAATTGTCATTCGTAGTCAACCGAGTGACAAAGATAGCAGTTTTGTTAAGTCTTGACGTAGTTGATTCTCTTGCTTGGTCCAGACGCCGGAACTGACCCTCTCGGAAGAGCGTTCAACACCAACGACCCAAATTTTCCGGTGACATATGACGCCGTGAAGTGATCATCCTCGCCTTCGCACCCTACCACCGTCTTGGAGACAACAGAGATCTCCCCGGGGAAGATGACGCCATCAATTACCGACGGAAATTTCCTAGCAGTTGAAAACGAAGCAAGCTGAGAGAAGGAGATGAATAAAACTAGAATCAAAGCTCCAATTCTAGCCATTTTCTTGTTTGTTTATATATGAGTGAAGACTTTGTTTTTTTTTTTTTTTAACTTCTTCGTCAATGTGTGATTTGGTGAAGAAGATCCGTGAAAGTACATGTCTATATTACTATATATAATGTGAAAATAGATAGATAGGTCACTGGTCAGTCAATGGCAGTTGCATAGATAACGCGGCAAGTGTTTGGACTCAAAAGAGTTGAAAGACTAGGTCATTATAGTTTCCGGTCCAATTGAAATATCACTTTAATTAGTACGTATTGTCAAAATTTGTAATTACATTTTCTGAATTTTAAAATCTAGATGTGAATAAACGATTTGGAGATATAACACATGATTCATTATGTTAATATGTTGAAAAGACTATATGGAAATATATATATCTATTTTTGTATCCCTTTATGTTAATTGACAAGTAGAGTGTTGTTACTTGTTACAGACAATAGTAGAGATTGTAGTAATGAAAAGTCATGTGTTAGTAAAGTTTGTTTAGTTAGACACATCCCATTCGAGTTTGATTAGTAGTAGTAATGAAAAGTCGTATGTTATTTGATGGGCCTTTATTGAGCTATTCTGGAATGAAAATAAGCCTTTCAGTTTTCAGAACTTATTCACTAGTTGCCGTTTCGAGACAATGACGACACTTCTGAATGAGAGAGAGGCTCTCTGTATATTTCTTTTTGTCTCCTCTCTCTTGTCCTGTTCGTCTCTGACTACTTCTCCGATTTGGCTTACCATCGGTCTTCGGAAACGTTGACCTTGGAGCTCGAGGGTACCAAATGGCAGGCAGAATTCGATTAGATGCGGTTATCTCCACGGTAGTCACGGTGCACCCGCACGAGATTCCGGCGTTGCTACACTCATCTTCCTGCTTCTTCTTCGTACCGATCTCCTTCCCTCTCTCTCTTTCTGTTTAACCATTCATCTCGAGTGTCCATTAACTTTTGTTCTCTTGAATCAGATTTTGAGTGCGTATTTCGTAGTTCTTCCACTCCGCGATGAAGGAGCAATATCGCTGGGATTATCAAAGCTCCCTGGCCTCTTCGTCGGATCCTTATTTCTCACTCTCATTGCTGCTCCTCTTTCCACCTTCATCTTCTCTTTGCCCAATTTGTCCAAATCCAAGGTAACTCTTTCTTACATTTTCTCTTTCCAATTTGTAATCTTTTGGCCATCTTATATACCATGCTTTTCGAAATTTGCAGGCTTTGGTTATAATACATAGATTCTTTAGTCTATCACTTGTTCTATGTTTCCTTCTTTGGATGGCCTCCCCAACAGAGTCTATCTCATCTAATTCAAAGGTAAGATAGGAGAGTTCGATTATTCATAAGCTTTCTGGAAGAAGTCATGTCTCATGGTTTAACACATACTACTGCTTCAAAGGATGCAGTTGAAGCGGCATCCAGCCTAACAAAAGTTGGTATCGATGGAGCTAATGGATGGGACAACCATAGCTGGTTTTACATTTCTGTTCGAGTTGGATTTTTCCTTTGGGTATGAGTATGACTAACTCTTTGTTTTTTGGATTTTTCCTTTGGGTAAGTTTTGATGTAGCTGGATACGTGATACTTCTTTTTTGTATGTTTCCAAGGTTGCGTTGCTTAATCTTGTCGCTATTTCTTCAACGTGGGCTAGAATAATAGACGTTATGGATAGTGAGGTAGTTTCTGCTGCCCTGTACTTTATTTCTAAGAACTGGCTATTGTTTCCAAGCATATAACATTCTTCAATTCAGTCAGGTGCAAGATTGTTTGGTTTTGTTGGTGCTGGTGCTACCCTTGGACAGCTTTTTGGATCTGTATTTGCTGCTGCCACTGCTTGGATGGGTCCATGTATGCATCACATTGTCTGATGATTCTTCCATTTACAATCTAAGTACCTAGATAGAGATATTTTTTTCTGCTTTTGTTTGTTCCATGTATGCCATTTTGAATTCACTCGAAAATCATTTTGATGTTCGTTACAGATCTACTTCTATTTGCTGCTCTTCTGATGGAATTGGCTGCACAGGCTTCAAAAGGGATCACCAATGACATTTCCCAGTCCTCTGAGGAGTTGTCTCCTCTAAGGTTAGCTAAGCTACAATCCGTGTCCATATGTGTAAGATGAATTTGATTTTTAAACCACCCTTTGTTTGCTATGTTTTCCTATCTTATGTTTGGAACAATATGTGGCTATGTATGGAACCAAACGAAAAATTGAAATGATTTATCTGGAAGTTGAGGTTGGTCTTGGTAATGCTCAAGTTTAAGTTTTCACAATACAAGCGAGATGTGTGCGTACTCAATTTAGGTTCTGGGCTAGACTTAGTGTGAGTTTGACTCAGTTATGCTCATGGTTGGTCGAGAAGTTGATTTTTGTTGTTGGTTCTGTTAGGGGAACTGATAATGATCATCAACGTGAGAGAAAACAGGAAGCTACTTCTCCAAAAGTTGGTTCTCCAAAAGTTGCTTCTCCTAAATCGCCTATCTCCACAAGCAGACCTCAGCTTTGGGCCATCTTCGATGGCATGAGACTTATACTAGCATCGCCTTATCTTTTGCTAGTGTCTTTGTTCCTCTGGCTCGGTGCGGTCATCTCCTCATTCTTCTATTTCCAAGTAAGACAGATCTTTATATATTGAATGATTTCTAGTTTTAAGATTATCTAAATCATGTGAAGGTAATATCAGAACTAGTTGACAATGCAATATTAGGCTTGTCATGCGAACCATCTCTGTGTTATACTATTCATTTACCTGCTCTTTAAAGAACTATGATAATTATAACCAAGACTCTTTGTTCTTCAACAGCCATTTGAACAATATTTCACAACATGAAAATTAGAATATCACTTTGTTACTAGTGCGATTCTGATATGAACCATTACTTTAAAATTCCTTTGTTTTCTTTGAGTTTATAGAATCAATTTTTGGACTTAGCAAAAAGAAAGCTGAACTTCTTACGGTCCCACTGATGAAATAAAGTTAAACTGCAGAAAGTGAATATAATTGCCACGACAATCAAATCATCCATTGGTCGAAGAAGACTGTTTGCCCAGATAAATAGCTTCGTTGCAGTTTTCATACTCATTGGACAACTGACTTTAACGGTATGTCATATGCGAGATAAAATTCACAGATTGATTCATAATACCTGGATTTTTTATTATTATGGTCCATATATATCAGTTCATATGTTAAATCTTACAGGGCCGGATCTTGACTGTAGCTGGTGTCACGGTTGCAATATCTGCATCTCCATTTGTTGCACTTGGGAATTTGGTTGCTATTGCCATATGGCCAACTTGGGTTACAGTTGCTGTATCTGAAACCTTGAGAAAGGTCTGTGGCTTACAACAATCTCTCTCATGTTGCCTTACTGTTCCATTAATTACACTTGACGTTTTATAACTTGGTAGGTGACAACTTATGTTGTAACTAGACCTGGAAGGGAACTCTTGTTCACAGTTGTCTCGCAAGACGAGAAATACAAAGCTAAGGTACTGAATCTTTCCTTTTCTCAACTTCTAGTTAGAAAATCAGTTCTGCAAAAGGGAAGGGTTACACTTTGGTCTATTATTTCACATTATGTGTGCTATGGTTTCAGGTATGCATAGATGTGATTGTTCAACGGCTTGGAGATGCTGCAGCGGCGGGACTATTTGAAGTCCTGACCATTGCTCTTGGCGGTCAAACATCAACTGCTTCACTCTATGCCTTGCCAGTATAATAAAAGCTTCATCCTTTTAGACAATTCATCGTGTATGTTAATTTTCCATGAAAATCCTCAACAAGTCTGCATTGTTTTCTTACAGGTGTGTTTAATATGGATAGTCACGGCGTTCTTCTTGGGACGGCGACAAGAACAATTGGCGAAACTCCAGGTGGGTTCATCTTCGTAGGAACAAAATCTTAAAAGAGTCTCACATTAATACAGAAGATGAGAGGCTTCAACTTCATATGTAGGAGTTATGGGAAAGCAACTTAAACCCCACCGACATGAAGGATCACAAAGAACACAGATTTTGGATTCTGCTGATAAATATACAAAGGGATATTTCGCGCTTTCTTTTGAGATTGGAGTATATCTGTATTTGTAACCGAATAATTTTTTTTTCTTTCAGATAGAGCAATTGGAAATCATTAACTTGTAAGTAGAAAAATATTCAATAATTTTAAAAAGCGCCAAAAAAGGCTAAACCAACCCCAAAGAGTGAAAGACCAACACCGGTCACTTACCAAAAAAAAAAAAAGAGTCAAAGACCAACTAAACCAAGCGAAACCAATGCACGCATTATAGATGACGTGGCAATTTTTTTTATAGCCATGAAACAATAATGCTTGTGTCTAGGTGTAATCTGTGGAAAATAAATGTGCTCTTAAGTATTGGAAGTAAAAAGACGTTAATGAATCCACGTTTTTCAACAGCACATTTCTATTTACCAACTTTTTTTTACTTTTCCAAATTCGTCTAATCTCTAAAGATAATTACTTAACGATTCAATAATATGGTTATTTGGTTAATTTGCAAAGCATAAACACAAGCATTAAGTTCATGTGGAACAGAGGAACTCTGTTTTCGTTATACTAATGAATTTGTTTGAAATAGTAGATGTTTTAGTTTCATTTGAAAAAAAAAAACACATTTGAATGCAGTTGCTTGCGTATATAAACAATCAATGTCCTAAAATAATTGTTTATTGATTGGTGGAAGAACAAGTTTGAGACCGAAGATTTTGACATGTGTCATAAATGATTTAAAGTTTTTCTTTAAAGAAATAAGTAAATTAAAAAAAAAAACACATTTACAAATACGTCTTCGGTGTTAGGGTTTGTTAAGAATGATTCACTGACAAATGCTCATCCATTGCAAGTTGTCTATCGAGTTTTAGAAGACCTTCAAATTGACGGATGAGAGCATAAGCCCAACAAATCCAAAGCACTTGTTTAGCCAAGCATGAGTCAAGAATGCATGGCTTCTTGATCCTCCAAGTTTGGAGTGTGATATTCTGAAGACTTTCACTCAAATGATTTCTCAAACTTTGAGAAACAACAGAGGGAAGCAGTTCAAAAAATCTTACTCGATCACTCAACAACTCATAGGACGGCCACTCGGTAACATTGTGAATAGCTTACGAAAACAAAATTTTCAAAAATGCATAAAATGAATTCTGGCTAAGAAAACAGAGATAAGAATGAAAAAAAAAAAATTCTAACATCATCAATCCTACTTATCAACAAATCGGAATTCAATTAAAAGGAGTAATGATTTTGAAATAAGAATCATTATTTGTTATTGAGGTTATCACTTAACTTCCTTTTCTTCTTATTCTAGATGATTTATCTTCAATAATTGGATAGAACAAAAAATGTACATTCATAAAGACATACTAGATAATCACTCGTACTATAGCACATGTTAAATTTCTATTTTTTGAATCTAATGTTAAATTATATTCAAAGAAAAAATAAACGTTTATACAAATGAATGCAAATTTTTTATAAAGAAACTACAAAGAAGATTCCTTCATTGGTGTTGTCTTGATGCAAACCAATCTTGTAATCCTCTTGCGTATTATACATGTTACATTTCATTTCGTACAAAATTTATATATTATATATTTTAGAATATAGTTTTGATATATTATAGTAGTAAGTTTTACAATATTGATTTCTTTTGTCAGTCCATATATATAATATTAGAATGAATATATTTTTATTTTTGTATAATATTTAATTATGGATATTTTTAAGATATGAAGGCAAAAATAATATTTTTTTTTTTAAAGTTAATATTATTTGAACAATGAGTTTATTTATGTTGACAATTATAAAATGAGATTCATATAATTTAGTTAGATAAAAATCAAAATATCATAAATATATAGCATGTAAGCGAAACAAATGCACCCCTGATGAGATCACCAAAAAAAAAAAAAATGCACCCCTGATGAGATCACCAAAAAAAAAAAAAATGCACCCCTGATGACGTAGCAATTTTATCGCTTTAAAATATTGGGCCTCTTTTTTTTTTGGGTAAAATATTGGGCCTCTTTAATGGGCCTTATCATTGAGAAGTAAAGCTGAATTCAGTTTTAAATCTATCATGAAAGAAAAGACAACATATTTTTTGTTACTTCTTGTAAGTCCTCTGTTTCTGATTCTGATGATTTCGTATCTGTTAAGGCACACGATATGGTGCCAGTCTTAGGAAGCAGATCAAGAAGATGGAAGTGAGCCAGCACAGCAAATACTTCTGCGAGTTCTGCGGAAAGGTATACTCTCTCTTATGATCTCAAATATCATACGCTTGATGGTTTTCTCTTCTTTGATTGTTTGGATTTTACGATGCTTTGATTTGTAAATTTCAGTATGCCGTAAAGAGAAAGGCTGTTGGTATTTGGGGTTGCAAGGACTGCGGGAAAGTCAAGGCCGGTGGTGCATACACTATGAAGTAAGAAAGAAAGATTCATCTTTTTTCTCATTCTTCCATTATTTATTTGTGATGATTGAATTTTTAATCTGTTGTCTGCTTATTCGTTTGGCAGCACTGCTAGTGCGGTGACAGTGAGAAGTACCATTAGACGGCTAAGAGAGCAAACCGAGAGCTAGAGACTGAACAGTTAGAGAGAATTTTCTTCATCTATCTATAATACAGAGCATAAACAAGTTCCTTGTGGGTTACGTTTTCCATAGAGAAGTTCCAATTGGATTTTGATTTTCTTAATTGCATTTGGCAAATGCCAATACACTAGAAACATTGTATCGAATAATATAGCAATACACCAAAAATATTTGAGAATCATTCATGGCTAAGGCTTCCACAGTTGAAATGAGACTTTTTCATCAGCAACCAAGAAAGGAAAGAGGACATGAACTTGTCTCTGAACAGGGTCATCCACTTGCCTCTGCTCTGCTGCATGAAACCTACTGTATATGATGTAGTTATAAGATCAATGCTTCTCCATTTCCTTGATCCTGCATACTTGTTCAAACCATCTTCAATCCGCCTATAACTCTCGTCCTCATACCTGGAATTTTTTTTTATCATGGTCCATATTATATCAGTTCATATGTTAAATCTTACAGGGCCGGATCTTGACTGTAGCTGGTGTCACGGTTGCAATATCTGCATCTCCATTTGTTGCACTTGGGAATTTGGTTGCTATTGCCATATGGCCAACTTGGGTTACAGTTGCTGTATCTGAAACCTTGAGAAAGGTCTGTGGTTTACAACAATCTCTCTCATTTTGCCTTACTGTTCCATTAATTACACTTGACATTTTATAACTTGGTAGGTGACAACTTATGTTGTAACTAGACCTGGAAGGGAACTCTTGTTCACAGTTGTCTCGCAAGACGAGAAATACAAAGCTAAGGTACTGAATCTTTCCTTTCCTCAACTTCTAGTACGAAAATCAGTTCTGCAAAAGGGAAAGGTTGCACTTTGGTTTATTATTTTCTTATTATGTGTGCTACCGGTTCAGGTATGCATAGATGTGATTGTTCAACGGCTTGGAGATGCTGCAGCGGCGGGACTATTTGAAGTCCTTACCATTGCTCTTGGCGGTCAAACATCAACTGCTTCACTCTATGCCTTGCCAGTATAATAAAAGCTTCCTACTTTTAGACAATCCTTCGTTTATATTATTTCTCCATGAAAATCGTCAACAAGTGTCCATTGTTTTCTTACAGGTGTGTTTAATATGGATAGTCACGGGGTTCTTCTTGGGACGGCGACAAGAACAATTGGCGAAACTCCAGGTGGGTTCATCTTCATAGGAACAAAATCTTAAAGAGAGCCTCACTTTGATACATGAGAGGCTTCATCGTCGCTAAGATCCAATATTTTCTCGCATCGTCTTCCTCCGGTGCTGTATCGTGCCGTCTTTCACTTTTTCTGCGTTCAATCATGGGCTCGTCAGTGCTTAGATCTACAAGCCGCGCGTGCAGTCACGCGACCTTCTTCGAATCCGACAGAACCGGAAGCTGTCTGGAACTGTCCGAAATGTAGATCGTCGAATCAGAAATCGAATATTCCAAGGCGCTACCTTTGTTACTGCGGCAAGGAGGAGAATCCTCCGGCGGATAATCCATGGATCTTGCCTCATTCTTGCGGCGAGGTCTGCGAGAGGCCGTTGAGCAACAACTGTGGTCACTGTTGCTTGCTCTGGTGTCATCCTGGACCTTGTGCTTCCTGTCCCAAGCTCGTGAAAGCTAAATGCTTCTGCGGCGGTGTTGAAGATGTTCGTCGATGTGGACACAAGCAATTCTCTTGCGGAGACGTCTGCGAGAGAGTCCTGGATTGTGATATCCATAACTGTAGAGAGATTTGTCATGTGGCAAGTGTCCACCGTGCAGATAACGCGCGGTTTACAAGTGCTGTTGTGGTAAGGAGAAGGAGGAGAATGATTGTTGCGAGAGAGTCTTTAGGTGTGAGGCTTCTTGTGAGAATATGCTTAATTGTGGCAAACATTTATACGGGAGAGGATGTCACTCGGGAGAATGTGGATTGTGTCCATATCAGGGAAAGAGGAGTTGTCCCTGTGGCAAGAGATTCTACCAAGGCTTGTCTTGTGATGTTGTGGCGCCTTTATGTGGTGGCACCTGTGATAAAGTTCTTGGTTGTGGCTACCATAGGTGTCCAGAGAGGTGCCACCGCGGTTCATGCCTTGAGACTTGCAGGATTGTGCTTACTAAGTCTTGCAGATGCGGGGGCACGAAAGAGCAGGTGAAAGAGAGCCTTTTTGATACTTCATGATGCTTTGTTATAGTTAAATCAAATGTTGATGGAAAGATTTTTGGGAACTTAATTTAGAGTAGGTTCCTTGCCATCAAGAGTTGGCGTGTGAGAGGAAATGCCAGAGAGTGAGAGATTGTGCACGTCATGCTTGTAGACGCCGATGTTTTGATGGTGAATGTCCACCATGCTCAGAGGTATGCTGTGTCTCATGGTCCAGTCTAGTGACATTGTTCACACTTGGCTTCTACTTTTTTTCGTTTGAAATTTTCAGATTTGTGGAAAAAGACTCCGTTGCAGGAATCATACATGCTCTGGACTTTCTTTGTCCTTCTGGTGTCAACTTTGGAACTATAAGACTGATTAAACATTGTGTATTGTAAGATATCAACTCATACACATGGAATAACATTACTTGTTGTGTGTTCATTGCAGAGTTCCATGTGCTCCTTGTCCAATAATGGTAACAATATCTTGTGCTTGTGGTAAGACGCATTTTGAGGTGAGAATTAGGATTTGAACGTGAATATGGCTTCCTACTATCAAGTCGTGATATATATAGTCTTGTTACTTTTATTTTTATGGTGGATCTATAGAAAATTTTTAATTTTGTGTAGATGCATCTGATAGAAGCAGGAGATGTTACTGACATCTAACAAGCGAGACTATCAGCTTAAACTTACTAAAATCTCTTCGGAAAAAATGATCTTGAGGCCTTGTTTGGTCTAAGCCTGAGAACCAGATCTGATGACTTTATGCCTACTGTTATAATATTTTCTTTGCTTCTTCTTTTTGTGTCCATAGGCTTTTAATTGTTTGCTACTTCTAATAGATTCTGGTCCTTTGATAGAAAATCTGGTACCGTATGTGAAACCTGTATTAACAACGCAGTTGGATGTTTTATGTTGTTCAGGTACCTTGTGGCACTGAAACAAATCAGAAACCTCCTTGTGGTAGTTCACATGTTCCCAAGCTTCATTTTTTACATTTTCTGAATAACATTATTAGAAAACCACACTCTTGAAACTAGAGGATATTGTTGTTGCAGAAAATTGCCAAACTGTACCCATTTGTGTCCGGAGATATGTCATCCTGGGCAGTGTCCATCGCCAGAACAGTGTGGTAAAGAGGTATTACTTCCAAGACTCCATGATGCAACTGCGTTGTAAAGATATCCGCCTGCGAGTTTATATCCATTTGGGATGTTGTCTCTGGTACAAATGTGATCTTACTTGTCTCGATTTTTGTATGGATCAAGGTGGTTGTTAGTTGCAAGTGCCTAACCTTGAAGAAGGAATGGGTATGCCAAGATGTTCAAGCAGCTCATAGGGCCACAGGTTCTGACCCTAAAGAAGTACCAAAGAACCAGTTCGGTGTTGACCCTTGCGATTCCAACTGTACAGATGGCTGAATCGGTGTTAAAGCAGCGCAATGTCAAAGAGATTGAGGTAAACAGAAACAATAAAAAGCTCTCAGAATTAATCCCACTCTTAAAGCAACTATTACAAACCTTTATTTCTAATCAAACATCTTAGGAGGAGCCTAGCGGGAAAAGTTCATCAAAGCGAAGGAAAAGGCGTGAACGGGGTCAGGAGTCAGGACATTCAGGAGACCACAAGGCTGCAGGTAATTTCTGTCTTTTAAAACAAAAAAAATCGGAGAAGCCACATGTCTCATATGTTTTGTCATCTACTTAAAGACACCATCTGTTTTTTTTTTTTGTTTCTTCTCTGCAGAAACTTGCTGTCGTTCACGAAGAGGATACTGATGGCCGTGATGTTAATGGCGATGGGAGCCGCTGTTTCATACTATGGTTATAAGGGACTCTTGTGGCTTTCTGATTGGATGAAAGAAGTCGAAGAACAAAGACAAAAGTCTAGAAGATACCCGCGAATCTAACTGGTTTCGAGAGTTGTTACTTCTCAAGCTTAGTGACAACACAGTTAGCTTCGAGACATTTGGTCTTTCTTTTTGGTTTATCACCGAAGGGGATTATGGTAAGACCGTAAATGCTGGGAATCTACAAATATAAACAATTATCACCGAAGAAAAGAGAAAGCAATTATCACCTAGTATTAAATCTATAGAATCCAGACGTTATGGTAAGGCCGTAAAATCTGGGAATCTACAAATTAATCTCCTTAATCAAAGTTTCTGTTGACCGAATCATTAACTAATAAAAAAAGAGAGACGCAATCGGGTAAGATTTTTGACAGGTGTGAGACATTCATTGGACCTCACGATTCCCACTTGTTTACTAAACTAGATTTTTGTTGTAGTACAAAAGAAAGAAGCAGTACAAAAAAAGAAGAAGGTATTAATTTTTTTTTTATGCATTAGAAAATGGAAAGAATAGAGTTCTATCTTTTGAATTCAAACACTATAAAATGCACAGACGTGTAAAGTTTAGACTACAGCTTGCATGTATCGAACTTGTGGCATGACCGCATGAGCGGTCCACCGTGGACCACAACACTCAAAACAATTTACATTTGTTAAAACACATATTTTAATATAAAGTAGAAAAAAGAAATCACCGGGAAAAAAACAATTACCACATTAAAATATAATAAAATCGAGACGTTTTTGGTAAGGCCGTAAAATCTGGGAATCACAAATATAAATAGTTATTACCTATTTTATAAGAAAAGAAAGGAAAAAAACCTGAAAAAACCGCCATTTAATTTTTTTTTTTACCGTTTAATACGTGTAGTATTAAATTTGAAATAAAAATATGTCATTTAATTTCGATTGTTTTTTAAAACCTTCGTTTTAAAAAAATTGGTAAAATCGTACCTCCGAGTTAACGACCGTTAACTTTGCTAACGGAAGCACCAACTGTGGTTAAAACTTAACCAATGGTGTTTAAATATATATATATATACATTCTCTTTGTTTAATTAGACGAATATACTGACTTAGTCAGGTGGTTAATGTCTGTGGACTTTCCATCATTTCCTGGGTTCGAGTGCCCCTCTCTCAACATCTGTTAGACGTTTTTAAATGGGAAAAATGTCATTAAAATCCTCAACTTATTCAAAACGTTTATTTAAATCCTCAACTCACGACGAAACGAAATAAATATCAAACTTATGTTGACTTTCCAAATAAACACCAAACTTTCATTGACTTGGCCATATTAGGCATGACGTTAAGTGAGTTAACAGACAATGTGAATCACGAATGTACGTACGTAAAGTTGTGTCTTTTCGATTAACACATGTACGTATACGTTGTTTCGTGTTGTATAAGTAGATCGAGTCAAACTCAATAATATCATTGTGTGTAATACATTTTATCTTATCAATAAGATCCAGTTTCTTCATACTCTGTTAAAACAGAGTTCGTTTGTTGATCAAAACACTAACAAGTATTCCTTCTAAACATAAAACGACGTTGTTTTGTCGTAACTGTTCAATAAAATCCCGAGTTTCAAATCATACTCTATTTAGGGTTAGGGATAATGCTCGATTTGGGGATCTAAGATTGACTTTAGGGATTTAATTCAATCGTTACGACATAACGACATCGTTTTGTTGTTATATGAAACAATGTCGTTATCAATTAACATATATGTTAACAGAAAATTACCTCCGTTAACGAGATCTATTAACCCACTCAACGTCGTACCTAATATGGCCAGGTCAACGGAAGTTTGATATTTATTTGGAAAGTCAACATAAGTTTGATATTTATTCGCAAAGTCAACATAAGTTTGATATTTATTTGGAAACCTCCACATAAGTTTGATATTTATTTCGTTTTGTCATGAGTGA